AAACAGTGGCATCTAGTACGGGAGCTAATAACGCGGAGCAGCAGCAGCGCAACGCGGGGGCGTCCATTCACGCCGCTGATTGGCCCATCCGGTGCGCGCTCAATGAGATGATGCGCGCGCGCAGCGGCCGACCGCGCCGCCTCTGTCATTGAGCAAAGGTCTGTCGCCTACGTTCGTGATCAACGCAGCCACAGATCACTGAAAGATAAGTAAGCATTGTTAGATTCTCCACCTCGGAAGGCAACAAACAACGATGACGATTTCAGATATCGTTCTAGGAGTTTTATAAAAAACGCATGTTACGACAATGTAATGAACTTGTAACGTCTGCCTTGCGTTGTTCATAAGATCTGCAGTTATCTTTCAACAAAAGTAGAGCAACGGTTGACTAGCATAACGAATTTTAATGTATTAAATAAAAGTACAACTCATACGCAAAACGTTCATTTTCTGCGTCAGTGAGCAGGGAACCGTTTGAACAATAACAATTTTACCGCATTATGGCATAACCCTCCTCCACGGTTGAACGAGTGGAAGGGTGACATCGGTAAGCAAATGAACAATTTTTCAAACTACATACTTGCCTCGAATAATTGGCTTCACACGGTAACAACGTATCGCATATTAAGCTTAATCAGGGACAATAAATAGCGTGATATCGAACACAGTTCATAAAAAACAAAAACTTAACAAAAAGGTTATTTACAAGTGCAAAAGGAATTTAAAATTGACTTTTGAAGTCACAAATAAGGCATTTATACAAAGAATTATTTTAATCGTATCTTTTAGCAAGAATGATCGTTTTGCAATGATATTTAGTATAATTATAAGCAAAAAGAAGGCGATTTGAATGCGAAACAGCGCACGCGCCGTTTACGTCACGCGACGTTCCAAGTTCAAACGGTGAACAATGGGTTCGGTAAAAATGGCGCGAGCTTTTGTTCTGGCGGGCTATTGTGGTGGCCGCCCGGCTAGAAGTTGGTTCACTATGAAGATGCACATAACATATTCATGTAGCATTCTATCACTTTTCCTCTTACAAAAAAGGTCGAATACTAACGAAGATGTAAATTCGAAAACGGAATACCTAATATTAGAAGCGATACAGCGATTGCAAAAGCGTAATTCTCGATGAAGTTAAACAGGCCTTTCACTTGGGTATAAACGACTATGTTTAGATTACCTGGAACGAATTGTCGTTTAGTCTAGCCGAGTATAATGAAGCCATTAACTAGGTACATTTGTTTAGCAACGTCCCTGCAGTGGGTGGACGCAACAAGTGTCGGTTATGTTCCCCCTTACAACCCTCGTTCGCCACCTGTTCCCGTGAAACCATCGAACATTAGCATAATGTGAAATGTGTTGAATAAAGAAACGTAGCCTGTTGCATGCATTGTTTCGCTGATGTACGCATGTGCGCTGACCGCTATCTATACATTTCTTTATGCTAGCGAATTAATTCAAAGCTTCGAAGTAGGAGAAAGAAAGAGCATTTTTTAAATAACTTCACCGTTCAAATAATTATCTGTAGTCTTCATTACCAACATAATATGTTTAGTGTAAATAAATAATTATGTCAACACCTGCACAATATAGTTGTTACATTATAACATGTCAAAATTAAAATTTGCCAATTTCAAAACGACACTATAACTTTTTAATTTTTGCTATAAAAATACAAAGTTCACTATATACAATGTTGCGTGTCACATAACAATGTGACACGCAATTTGGTGTTGAAAAACATATTAATTAAAAAAATAGCAACAACGCAAGTCAATAAATACTTAACATTTTATGCCTCTATTCTACCAAGCAACGGTAAAAAGAAAAGAGGTTTACTCCTAAATAAAAACAAAGACATTGAGTTATGAAGTAATTACGATATAACAAATTTCACAAAATCGAAAAAACAAATGAAACTAATAGACCTCAAAAAATAATGGTCCATTTTCAAATTCAAAACATTTTCGAATGTTGTTAATTGATAAACAATGGTAGTATTACTAAATATAGCCTGTGGTAGCCGAAAGTCCGAAGGTTGTGGGTCGTCCTCGACGGGCGGCCACGGCTGAGGCACACGGCGCATCTCCGGTGCTTTGTGCACTTATCTACGCCATTCACAATTCTCTTCACCACTGTACTAAGAACATTCGACATGTTAAGGCCTCGATGACTTGAAAGATTATTCACTAACTGACACTATTTTTAGATGTTTGCTAAACAGAAGTACTTTATTTGGTCTTAAATAAACTTGTTTTGTTATTATATGGAATTGAAGATATGGTGAGCTCAATAGTAAATGTATTTTCATTGTTCCGTTTTCCGTGTAATGTCATTTGTGTACAACAAAAATAAATTGTCGCAAAACAGTTGACCGTTCTTAAAAGCTATCAGTAACAATATCATACAACGGATGAGGCCCATCAGTAACTATTCGACAATTACACCGAAATCACTCCGGATTAATTACTTTAATTACGGAAACGGAAGTCTTGCCTTCGTAGTTTTTGTCCATCCGAAATTCCATTCCAGATGTTAATGTCGAGCATGACTTTTATTCGTGCCACCACCTTCTTACATCAAATGTCCACAGATAATTGCAACTTTATTTAAGTCATTAAAGGGATACAAGGAACACAGAACTACACGGGTGCATCAATCTTGTCGATAAATGAATTCGTGTTTGTAGATATATAAAACTGTTCGTGAATTAAATATCATAAAAAATTAAAGTTTATTACAAAAATATTTCATCAGAACATCAAATTAGTAAGTACTTGTTATTAAATAATTTCTCTAACAAAATATCCCACTGAGAGTTTTACTGGCGTGTGTGACACGCACATTTTGCGGACTTTATAACAGTCAAAGAGAATTAATGTTCTTTTCATCTTAAAAAAAAAATGTTGGTACCCTCCCAACACTAGAGTTAACGACCACGGAGGCGGTGCAAATATTTCGGTTAAAACATTTTCACGACAGCATTTCTCTATTACATTTAAAATTATTTTAAAGAACATAACTTTTAATATTATGTATATTTTATTTACCCAACTGTTTGATGTGAAAATATGAGTAACATCATTAATTAGTTGAGAATGGTTTGATCTTTATAAATATTTTTTTGTTTTTCATTGAGATGTTTGAATTGGGCGATTCATTTTCTTCGACGTGAGCCCGGAGGCTCATTAGCAAGGAGGCTAACAATACATTATTTTATTGGCATAAATAAATCGTGTATACAGCTGATTGATAAATATTGTTCTAGAACATTGTACAGTCCATACTTATTACAAAATATCGTCACTTCAATAATAATAAATAATGGGTTGTATAATACATATAACATGTAAAGGGATGAAGTCTATGTTACATAAAATTGTTATGAATACAATGAATTTTCAAAATGATTTCAAAAACAAATGAATCTGTCTACAAACATTCTTAGTACGCAGTACCTACATAAATGACGAGAAACTTATATTTTATATATCTGCGTGTAATACATGTTTATTTACATCGTAGAAAAAGGCTACAACGCAGAAAGTCACAAGTATTTTTTAAACTATATATTTTTTATTTTTGTAAAAGCAAAAGATATCGAGATCGTACTAACAATGCAATCAAAGCACGCACTCGGAACGAAGCTGGTTGTGTGTTAGTGTAAAAAGATGCGTGTACGCAATAATCGTGAGTCAAGTGCAGCTGCGCGAGATATATAGTGCGAGTAAATCACATTGCGCGAGAGTGGCTGTAATTAATGCAGGCGTGATTCGCAACCGCCGGGACTCTGGCCACCTTGCATCGGCGAACACCTAACTATAACAAAGAAAAAATAGGTATATAACGCTTTGTTACTACAGACCCGTGTTTTGTATAATGCGCAGTTAATAGACATTTAACTTTTCTGTCAACGAAATCATTTTCATAGCTACTTGTCACAAGAAAATTAAGCAATGAAAATTATATCTAAAAGCTCTATAACATGTTCCTTAGATCTGAGAGTTCTCCATAAGGAATATTTCATTTAAACTCATTTAGAGACATCAAAACATGACAGTATCGAGCCAGACACCGCATTCTCACAACATCAAAGCGTTTCCAGATTTATGCTACTTAATTGTGATTGGAACACAGAATGCTCAGACTCAATTGAAACTAAAACGACGAACAGAGAGAAAAATTTAAATTATATCAGAGCGAGGTTCAGCTAGAGCAGATCAGAGGCTGAGCGGGCACCGACCGTGGGAGAGGTGCACAAATCTCCGCATCTCAGAACTGGTCGGCAGGTGCGCGCGCGCACCACTCACACAGCCACACCACCACGCACACCGACACCACAAACCAGGCGCACTTATGAATGGAGCCTACAAACCTGCATAAGAACTACACACCGACACGAACGCACACAGCCACATAAAATTCAATCTTGCTTGTTTATCTCTGATTTATTTTATTCGAAACCATCAAGTTTCAAAAAGTTGGCTATTAATTTGTTCTTCGATGCACAGTATTAATGTCGTAGATAAAGTAATTAATCCGAATGATAACGATCTTGGTTGACAAGAGCTTGAACTCAGTCTCATGTTGAAGACTTCCCGCATAAAGTATACGGTGAAACTATGGCGTTAATCTATATGGATATGGTTTAAAATAACCCTGAGGCCTATGAATGCTTATGAATAACTCATTGCAAACAGATCATATCTAGCCCATGCATATGAACGAACCTTATTATAAGGAGCATATTAAAATAATAAATGGCTTCTCTAATGCGGTTATGAAAGAAATCAGAGTAAGGAAGTTTCTCGTTGGATGAATATTTCTAGGGACAAGCTCGGTTACGTTTTCAATTCAACATAAAGAGAATAACGATTTTTTGCTATCAAATCTTGCAAATGTTTTACAGGCACTAGAATTTTGGTTACTTCGAGACTAGTTGGAGTGACGCAAAAAAAATTAACACTATTTAACATTTGTTTTGTTTATTGTTACAGACATCCCGTCACAGGTGCCGCCATTGACGCCAGGCACCAACAAGAAGATGGCCGAGGCGCTGAAGGCTACCTTCGCCTCCTGGGAGAAGGAGCAACTGCGCCTCGGCGTACCGAAAGGTAAGAATCTTAAACTTTAGACCTTATGTAAAACGACTGTAGATCTATTATTGGGTTACTAGTTGAGTATTAAAGATATTGAGAAACTCGAGGTACTGGCTATTTAGAAGTTATTTCTAAACGTAATGTGATGAATGAATAAATGTAGATAAGTTTTCTTGAAGAACTGAATAAAATGCATTAGTGCTTTAGTTTTAAGGCGTTATTTAGTCACAGAAGTGTTATTCACAAAGATAACAAAAACTACAATTTACACGTTATTTACATTGACATTCAAACTCTACGCTTACAGCTCAGTATATCATCACTAATTTTCAAATATAAAGGTAATCATTAGCTTCTGTTCCTAGACAATTGAAGTTAGCATTGGATGTTGGTTGAGTCGTAAAATACGCCCATAACTACTGTTTAACGTTCAGTAAATGCTTAGACAGACAAAGACATTTTCCTCGCTCAGGGAATAAGAAATATCAAGTAATGGTTTATTTCACAGTAATGTAAACGCTGTCGGTTCATTTGGGATCGAGCAAATAGCACTTTATGGTCAGGAAGAAAAGGCAATAAAACCACGTAAATATTAATTTTAGACTTCAGTCGTCGAAGATCTGAGAGATGAAGGAAAAAATCAACGCGTGTTATTCTTAATACGATCAGTCCATTTTAATACGATGCACCTGCTACAAAGTAAGCTAATAAAATTATGATTAATATCTGTTAGTGAGTCGCAGGTTGCACTCGATACTTGCAATGATGAGGCTTGGAATGATTAAAGTGTAAATTGGTCGTGTGGTGTGGTCTACAGCCATGTAAGTACGAGCGCGACAAATAATCGCGACACTTTTTGTAATGGCGATGCTAAAGTGACGTCATTAGCGCGTAAGAATGTTCTGATAGCTGTCTTGTTTTTCCCTCGTTCAATATTTAAGTATGTACTGGTTACAAGCAAAAACTGTTAGCGTACAGTCGACAAAGCGTATAAATACAAGGTATCATTTGCATATGGTAATGTGACGGACGCGTCGCCGTGTCGCGACCGCCTGCGATATACACCCCCCACCTTTGTTGGTGGTGACTGACAAACTCTTCGCTTTATACCAGTAAGTAAAGATACAAGACTATTTGTAGGAAATACGAGAAACGCTCTTTAACTAAAGGTAAGCACTGTCCAAAACCACTAAGAATTTATTAGTTATTCTGTATTAAAGAAAGATGAACTTATACCTATGGCATGTTTGTTCAAAAAAGCAACAAATAGATACAAGGATTTTGCATTTAACTCAAATGATTAGATGAGAAACAAAAATAATTATAAACTTGAAAATATTTAGACCAACTGAAAACGAGATCTCTCAAGAACGGGCAGTATTTTGTCAGTCATATCAATCAGCTTGAAAATCTTCCTGCAAATTATTCACTGTGTTAAACGTATTGATATTTGCCTAGGATCATACAGTGGACAGGTGGCGGGTTCGATGCCCTAGCGCGGCGGAAGTGCGTGCGTCTGCGCGGCGTCTATTCGCGCTTCCGGTGTGCCCGCGCGCATCTAACACGAAATCACGCGCAGGATGTGAATAACATACTGCTAAATCTTTTTATCATTATTATATTTTATCAATGAATATATACACCAATCAAGGGAAACATCTCTAGTTCAAAACATAGAACTTTATAATTTTCAATGTAATTGTATTAATCAAGGACTAATTTTACATAATCTTAACTTCAATTGAACACATAATGTATGCCAAAAGTGTTCTTAAATGACAATGGGTTTAAAGGATATAATCGCATCACAGAGAATGTTATTCGTTACAGATAGGTACGTGTTGTTATCAAAGGACCGCGTTGGTGTGCGTCACACGTACACGTGTCATCAACAACTTGATTCCTTAATTGTTCCACGTAATAAATTTACTCATAAAACCCAATTTGATAAAATTTCAGTGTAATTTCAATGAAACGCAAACGTTTTGCAATAATTGCAATGAAAATTTGCCTTTCCAGACCTAAAATGGTTGTTTTCCTTTACATTAAGTTACTTATATTAAAAACATCTTTTAGTCCATTGCAATAAAACTTATTTTAGTAATGAACTTCAATTTCTAAGCCGTATTTTAAAGTAGTTTTTCGAAAAATTAACTCGTAGTACTTTTAAACTCTAAAACTACTTACCCTCAGCTTTTTATACTTGCCTCTCTCACACAACTGTTAGATTACATATGCAAGAGGGAGACGAAATCCAAAGTAAAATCTAAGTTTTCATCTAATATGCATTATCTATTCTTGTTTATATTAAATTAGATAACGGTAAGATGTTATCTTAGCTTGTAACACAGAACACAGATAACCACTGCAGTTACCAGAAGCATTGGAATAACGCTTTTATTTTAATTAAACTCGTTTCAATTAGGGCGAAAATTGCTTGAGAGAATTTCACTTCATAATATTCGCCAACACAAATTGTTATTTATTAAATAAAATTGCCAAGAAGTCACTAGGAGCGTAAACGAAACGGAAGGAATCTTATTTTATTTGCATTAAGGTTCCAGTTTCGATGATCATCAACTCAAATGTTTTTTAAGTATTTGCAACCGCACATTACCATATTCCATGAGTATAACAACACTCAATAGAAAATAAAGCTTTATTTAAATTAGGTACTTGTTAAATGTATAAAACTAATGTACTAACAATTGTTTGAAACCAGAAAAAATACACAATTAGCGTAAACGTGGCATTAAGAAACATTTATTAACCCATTATTAAAATAAAGACATAAGATCATTGTACAACATCCATCGCAACACTGCCTTACAGAAACTTTAACACACAGAATTCAATCTACGCAATGCAATGAAAAATACGCTTTAAGTTCGTCACTGTTATCGAAGAGCCAGTACGTAATCTGTATTAAGATCTTTAGATTTAATAAAATGAATCCCAGCGCACAAAGACATCCTGTAGTCAGAGAGACAGTGTTATCTTATCATCAATTGTTAATAAAATCACTCTATTAACATACCCACGTATGTACTGTTAGTACCTACTTTGTTCCACCTGTGGGCTTTGATTAATGGGAGTAAGCTCCTCGACTTTAAATATTGGATTAAAATAATATTTTTTTTTCCAAAATCCAATGTTCGATTGAAGAAACGCATCTTATATGTTAGTACTTTTTTACGCTACTTAAATAAAAAGTTAAAAGATCAAAGATACAATAAAACTCCTAATTTTATGTACCATAAACAAAATAACTTTTACATTTTCATCTCTGATTTGATTGTAACACGACCGAGCACATTATTTTCCTTTGATATTGTCATGTTAAATCGCTTTACAGTTATGATCTGATACCGTTGTCCGCAGTTCTCGTGGTCACACGTCGACGTAAACATAAAACGTCGTGTCCCGACAGCCACGGGCTAAAAGCTGTAATTAAACTAATTATTTATTATTAGACTCTCCCGCTGGCAAGGGAAAAACTGAGGTTCCGAGTGTAAAAGCAGTTTATAACATCGTAACACATAACTCCATTTGAATCGATTGACTTTTTCTTGTAGTTAACCTACCTAGGAACGATTAGAAAATCTTTAATGGTGACTATTGATTAAATTGATCGATCTTCCTTCTCAGTTAAGCGGTTGGCGTTAACCCATTTTTCCTTGTAAAACTTTCTTTCATTTAAACTTTGCAATCTTGAGTTTTCACTTTAGAACTAGCAATTTTAATCTTTAAGAGTATGTGTAGGTCTTTAGAAATACTCCGAATGGGACGCTGACTAAATAATCAATGCGCAACTCAAACATCCAAGCGTGGAAACCCGATATTTTGCATAACAGTTTCTTTGATCTTCACATTGCATTTTAACTAGAAATTCCTAAAATACTTCATGAACAACGCAAACACATATCTTAATTAACATCTATTGATAAAATCAATAATCAAAAGACAATATTATCATTACTTCCAATTCATTCGTCACAATACCTTAAAAAAATAGAAGTAAGTAATTAGAAATCGTTTATCACTGTTATAAAGACAATTGGTTAGTCGGTGCATATATTTTGGCGTCAAGGTCGGGTCGCTTCCGGCGAACATGTGGCAAGTTCCGTTGTTGGGCAACAAGTCGGTTCGCTGCCCCGCTAATTGTTGATGTTGCAGCCCTAACAGCCATCCGGCTACAATTGTGCACTTTACTACTTGATAGCGAGCACCAATCAGAACGACTGACGGCCTGATTTCATATGCCAGCCCTATCGAAGTACATCTCTAAACAATGAATGATCATAATTGGATGTGGAGATATCGCTTGCTTTAATTGCGATGCAGTTTGTTTTATAATTTGTTTAAACCTTGACGCTAGAATATTAAAGTGTATCTAATTATTAGAGACTAGGATATTGAGGCAAAATTTAACAATTATTTTGCTCTACAATGCTCTTTGATCGCCTGCTCGACTAAGAAGGAAGAGATCTCGGATTAAGATCCCATATCGGACAAAGTACCTACCTACCTGAGACACATGTTCCTATGAGTTTATTACTTCTTCCACTTACCCAACTTTATCTTCTACAGACCCTCGCCAATGGAACGAGGCGGCGGTGGCAGCGTGGCTGCGGTGGGCAGCCCGGGAGTTCTCCCTGGAAGGCGTTGCCCTGCAACAGTTTGCCCGCACCCAGGGCAAGGACATCTGCGCCATGGGACGCGAAGAGTTTGTCGCACGCGCACCTGCCTTCATGGGAGATATCCTTTGGGAACATCTCGAGATATTACAGAAAGGTAAGTACTTATCGTTGTAAAAAAAATAAGGCTTGTCATGGTCATCTTCAGTCCGCTTCACATCTGAAATAAAGTTTATCTTTACACGCACGCAACAACCTAAGTACTTTGGGATATTTTTTGGATTAATTAGGTTATTTTTTCATTTAAATACCATTTTTGTCCCACTAGATGTAGAGAAGGAGCGTTCGTTGCTGGCCAACGTACCCCCGAATATGTACGAGAGCAACGTTTGCCTGCCCGAGCCCCCAGAGTACAATATCCCGCCACCTGCACACCACTACAACAACAACAACAACAATACCGGTAAGCAAACATTATGATTTTCAACTTTATCGACATTGAAAACTGAATTAATTGTGAAATTTTAGCAGCGCAAGGTAAGAGTAAACTAGAATCTACAAATGTGATTGTGTAGGTTAACTCTATACCTACATGTAAATCATCTAAAACAGAATTTTGCTGGATACAAAACATATTTAAGTGTCGAATTACAATTATTAAAAGATGAAAAGCGATGTCTAATGAAGCGTAGCGTAGAGTATGGTTTGTCTACGAGGGGTCTACGATTTGCTACGCCGTAGCGCTACGACTATAGTAATTATCTTTATTAATTCTATATTGTTGTAACACTGAAACTTTCTATAGCACATTAGGCGATATATATTTGACTTTTTAAGTCCTTCTTAAGCAACACTCGTTACCTATGAAGCTCATAAATAAGTAACATTTAAATTACATCTCAAGATACTTAACCGTAAAGTTCATTTTAAAATTTTTCGCCAAGTAACGGTTACTTGTTCATTTCAGTAGTAGAAACATGCCACTAATAATATACGAACTACTGTTGATAAGACTGCTATTACGTGTAGTAAAGTGAGGCTCATTACATGCAGCCGATAGCCCGACAATTACGTGAGTTCGAACCCCAACTGACGTTTAATGGAGCTGTCGTGCACTTATGATAAGTATTTTTGCTTATACGTGCACACGACTGCATATCAAAGTAACCTCGCACTGTTTTTCTTCAATAGACTCTGTGGTCTTGTAATAAAGTTACAAATCTCATAAAGAAAATTTACTTTTTGGTATAGTTTTATGTTCTACGCATCTGCTCCAATTTAAAGATAACTATGTTCTAATGTTTGGGGACATGAAAATAATTGAAATTTACGCTAAATAACAAGAGTCCTATTTTGACAAAAAACAAGGGAAGCAGATTTACACATAGTTAGTTTTATTCATAATCAGTCCATTTCTGAACGTTTTGTGTTGTTTGTATTGTAATCTTTAGCTCTTCATGAAAAGTTCTGTGACCTTGTGGGTATAATCCTTGCTCCTAGCTGCACTGCTGCAGGGTATCCCTCACATCAATTGCCTAGACGCAGTCTCAACTTGAATAATTTAAACATAAAAGCCACACCAACGCATAGCCAATTTTCATGTATATTATACACCATAAACCAGTATTACGATTACAACTATAATTTAATTTGTTTGGACACGGCAGAACAGTAAAAGTCTACTAACAATGTGGAAATACGCCTCGTTTCACATCGACTTGTTAATCAGCATATAAATCTAATCGCAGCATTTGCAGCTATATATATATTAAGCTGAATTATATACAAGATATACATATAAAACGTTATTGCTAAAAATATCGTTTGTAAACATGAGTTTTTTTCTGCTAGCAAACCTATTTATTTTTGTGAATCGAAAGTAGATATATATTAAAAAGTATCTCAAAGTTTAAAAGTATAATTAACACTGACTTCGCAATAGTTATTTTACGATACCAGTGATTTAATTTTTATTATTGAAATTATCAAAATCTCAACAATGTTTTAATACTAGAAGTAATTATTTAGTCATACATCACACATTGAGTGAACTATGAAAATGTTCGGCTCTACAAAAAATGTCCACGAACCGTAGCGGTCTCATCGTACATCTCATTTACATGTACTGCGCAACTATTTCTGTAAACGTCGGTAAATGATAATTAATCAAATTTTACAATCGGGGGTGGCTGTGTAATCTCACGGATAAAAGCTCATTTCCACTAGATATAAAACGTTGTGTTTATTGCGTTGTAAATCATCGGCGCGGGATGTTTTGACTGCAACGCGGAGCTCGGCCACTGAAATAATAAATTAAGTAAGGAGACAAGATGTCCTCTCGCCGTCGTTAGCCCGGGTGGTCTCGTCACCACCACAAACATTTAGACAACTAATTTACACGACTAATTGATGTACGGCATATTTCATCATATCTCAGAAATGGGCGACGATAGATACGAGTCTATATGCGGACGCTTTTGGTGAAACTACGAAATCATTTTTCAAGAAAGTCGTGTTAACATGATATATGGAATTGTACGACATTTTTATTTTTAAATTCAAATTTTCGTTCAAATTTACAAGATTTATCGATAGTATTAGACACGTGTTGCTTAAATATATACACGTTTTCATGATACCTAAATTTATTAACGCTTATAATGACCCTGTAAGCCTGACTTTTACTTTTGCGATCACGCACCCTAGTCACGTTGCCAAGTACCGTTTCATACAACTACAAATTAATAATAAAGAAAAAAAAACGCTATCGTTTATAAAAAGCAGCGTTTTACAGTAATGTGTAAGTATCAAAACACACTGTTTCCAGTCGGCTGGGCGTATGGCGCAATACGTCGACCTTGGCGCAGTTTTTCCGCTCTCTTTAAGCTCAGCCGAGGTCTACCAACCAGTCTTGCACCTTGTACCACAAATTTCAAACGTGACATCTTCATATGCATTATGCATAATAACATCACGCCCCCAAAATATTCGAAGCAAGCACAAATGTACTTGAATCATACAACCGTTCAATATTTCAACAGTTTTAAAGTTTGAAATTCATTTAAAATGCTATCTTGTAGTATCTCACCTTGATTTATGATCGAATTATGATGAGATCCAGACATTGTATCGATTTCCTATAAGAATATAAAAAATGAGAATTCAGAAAAATCTTTACAATAATGCGAAACTAAATTACTCTATTGTAGTGGTAATCAAGAGAATGATAATCATTTCGATGACTATATACTTGTAATATTTTAGTTTCAATGACGCAATCTACAATGACAAGTATTTAATACTCGTTTACCTATGTACAATGAAACTGTTCAAGTGATTAAAAACAAGGCCAGACTGGGAATCCTACGTTAATTTAGTGTATCATAAATCACGACCCACCCCGTCGGCTCAATTACTTGAATCATTAAAATTGCTATGACTGTGACTGTACTGAAACAAGCAATTGCTTCTTGTAATCTTAAGGTATAATTTACGACGAATGAAGTTATTCTGCCACAAAGTATATAAAGTAGTGTGTAGCCTAATAGTTTTTTTTAAATGTGTGTATGTAAAATATTGCAAATTTTCATTGATTAAGTACACAATCGATCGCTGGAAAAATTTACAAGTACAGTTTAAGAGTAGATTGTCCAATCGCCCCTACCACGAGGAGGTGCGCGCGCGCAGGCAGGCTCGCGTCAGTCTTCGGTTGCTACGCTCTTGCTCATCACTTGCATTATTCTTGCACGCACTATCTAAAAGTTCAGTGTCGGTAACTGACTATAAAACCCTTTCAGTACCTCTTCCTAATAATATCAATAAACAATAAAGTTTTTTATTATACTCTTAATATTTAAAAACGTAAGTAAGTGAAGTGCTCGGAGTGTATATCACAGTATGGCGAGCCTGGATTCTGGGTAAACTATGTTTTTGCACCCGAGCTCCCGGTCTAAGGACTCTACTGAGCTGGACCCTGGCATGGTGTGGCGTGGTGAGTTACAGTTTACGTGAACTTCTCGAAGAGATCACAAAACTTCGAAATAATATTTCACTTGACTTTCAATTTTGTAATAAATGGTATTCAGTCACTTATGGCATGTGGAAGTCATCGTTAGGATTTTGGCTGTATTGTCTATGATATTTGTGTTCACGCATAGATCAAGGACTAACAGTGCTGGATGCATGTCCAAAGAAAGTTATCAGCAATGCTAAGTGAGTGCATGGTGTGTCGTCAGCGCGTGCGCTCGACGCCGGGTGAGTTTCGCGCGTCCTCGCGTCAACTCGAGCGTGGCCAACTAATGCAAGTGGGCCGACGAAGCTGAAGGTTAACGCACAAAAACACATCGTATATATTCAATATTTTGCAACTGCACTCGTATTAATAAACCGTGTGGGTATATGGTTAATGTTGTGCTGGTGCAATTTCGTGGCATCCGCGCTGTCGCAAGGGCCAGCGATCGCTTGCCGCCAGCACATCCTCGCGTTGCGCACTCGCCGACTAATCGCCGGACGTACGCCTCGGAACAACGTTGCAAAATCGCTTACAGTTCAAACAATATGTCTAATGTTCTGAAAAATTCATGGGCACACGACGCTCTGTCGCCGCGACTTGCGACGCGCTCATCTGAAACGAACTCTTCTGTTGTGTACATACACTCATCCTTGTATCTGTTACATGGCGGTGACTGTTGATTACACAAGCGGCCGAGCATAAATTATAAGTAATAACAAACAGAAATCAAAAAGTTTCTCCTGAAATAATATGCATCAGTTATCTGTTCGTATCGGCAATAAACCGCAGTAGGTACAGTCATCCTTATTAGCGTACATTTATGAGTAGCCTGAGCAATATATCGGGCGTATTACGTGGCAGCCAATCATAATAATTTATTAGTATACAGTGATATGGGCAGTTAATGCGGCGACGAGTGGCGGCGCGCGGTCGCCGGTGTCCTGCGCATGCGACTCGCACTGATTTATCAGCCGACGAAGCCCCGCCCCGACCTGATAGCCTTACCCTACAACCATTCAGCTTTTTTATTGAATAAACATTAATTGGTATAATATAAAAGTAAATATTCACAGCAGATACTCGTGTCAAACACGAATTTTAACGTAATAGGCTCAAATGGCCGCAATTAAAATATAAACTCAGATATTTACGACACTTAATTACTATTTTATAAATAATAGGGTAATCTTATTGAGTAACTTGTGTTTGACTTTAGATATTTGTATTAGCTACTAAATGTTGTAAATGCGGTGCGTAATATTGTGTGGAATGTGCCTCACAGAGTACGAGTAACCGATACTGATTAAATGAGCAATAAAGGGGAGTTATGTAGTATATAGTTTTTGTACACATCATACAAAATGGTGTTGCAAGATAGGTAAACTATCTCACTCTACAAACGATACCAGAAAATGCTTTTAACCGACTTCCTACATTTACCCCCAGAGGTC